TGTCACTTTGAGGGGTAAAAAGTATAACTATTGCACTGTGTTGTACAGCTGAAACTAATTCTAAAAAATGTGTATTTCATAACAAAAAATAATTTAATAAAAAAAAAAGATTCAGGACCATGGACAGCACCTCAGCACGCCTCGGGTACACAGTCATCGCCTCTCTGCCTGTGCCCCCGGCTCTGGTGAATGCCCCTAGTGAATAACTCAAATCCAACAGACGCTTATCTACCCTTGTCTTAACTGAGCTTTCTAAAGAGTTTGACTTTTTTAACATCTGCATCTGTCATTTTTATTTAAAGATCATTCCCATTGAAGGAATAAAAAACATTCCCTGAGATAATAAAACAAATCGCACCACTAAAATAAGGGGACACTTCTGGTAGCTAAAACATATTATTAATCTTAAAACTCTGTATTAACATTGCTCCTTTGCTTTTTAGTGGGCTCTTAGGGGGCAGGAGACGGGTCTTATTCATTTTTCTGTTCAACATGTATCATAAGGCCAGGCCCAGAGTTTTGTGCGAGCAAATGCCTGCCACTTATCAGTTGGATGACCTTGGGTATGCTATTACTCAACTTCTCTTTGCCACTGTTTCCTCAGCTGTTAAATTGGAATAGCATTAGAGTATACCTTATATAATTTTTTAAATGATTAATTCAGTTAATACACTTACACGTGCTTAGAACAGTGTCTGGCACAGAAGACTAAAGAGTATTATTATCATCATCATTAAACATTGCTAAATAAACCAATGAGCATCTATTATCACCAGACTTCATCCCACTACCTGGGTAGGGCTACAGCTTTATATTGACAAGTCAGAGTCTACACTACTCTACCCAGGGCACTGTGAGCTTTAGAATTCTTGAGATTTGCTTTTCCTGAGTCCCCATGTTGTCATGTTGGCCTCACTCTCCCACCCCTTTCAGTTGTGTACTATCTTTTCCAGTTGCATTCCTGACACCTTCTTGCACCCTCAGGCTCACCCACAACCTCTTCTTTTTGGTCCCTCGTGCAGACGGAAGGACACTGGATGAAGAGCCCCACCTATGCAAGCTGGTCTGGCAGGTCCTGACCCTCACTGTTTCAGCCCCACTTACCTCCTTTCTCTATGTTTCCATAACCCTTCTTCCCCTAGTCCCTTAACTGGTCTACTGGCTGCGAGGCAAACCTAGGTCCCTCTGCCTAAATTGTTCTTTTCCCCCGGCACCTATGCTCAAGGAGGTATTAACCATCCTTCAGGGCATGGGGCAAATCTACCCATTCCCTGAAAGCCTCCACATTTCTCCTACCCCTTCCGGAACTATTACTTCAGCCTCTGAAACTCACATGGCTTCTTTGCATTTATCATTCTGTCTCATCATGCCACCCCCATCAGTTGTAAATTCCTCGAGGTTCAGGTCCAGGTCATAAACTCTCCCTATCCCCATCCTCTCAGCACCCATCTCAGGCGGCTGCCCCGCAAGTTGCAGAGAGCAAGCCCCTTCCCCTATCTGAGGCTCAGTTACTACATCAGCAAAATGGAGCTAACAGCACCCGCGCCTCCCTGGGTTCCTGCGTGGATTAAGCTAGGAGGAGCACGGAAAGCGTCCCACAGCGCTACACAGTGGAGTAGGGGCTTGCGTAGCCGCTCGACAGCGTGGGATGGTGGAACGCTCCTGGGGCGGGGCCGCGCACGGGCTGCCGGGAGTTGTAGTCCACGCGGAGTTCGCAGTCTCGGTAGGGCTGCCGCGGAGGTCCGCGGGCGAGCCCGGGAAGGTGGCGGGGGCCTGCGAGGCGCGAGGCGCCGGGCCCAGCGCCGGCCCGGGGCGGGGATGGGGCCGGACGCGAGGACTCGGATTGTCCCTGCCTCTGCTGCTGGGGCAGCTGCTGGCGCTGATGGGCGGCGGGGACGCGTTCTACCTCGAGGTCCGTGAGCTGGAGGAGAAGTGCTTCATCCAGGAGATCCCCGATGGCACCGTGGTCATAGGTGCGCGCGCGGCCAGTCCCGGCCTTGCCCTCGCACCCAGAGTTCTAAGAGGGGTTGGGGGTGGGGCGCCGCGGCATCTGCTCAGGACCGCACCTTTCCCCCGCGCCGAGGGTGGGCACCGGTGAAGAATGGGTGGACAACAGTCTGCCTAAAGCACCCTCTCCCAGGCCCTTTCCGAGTCTAGGGGCTCAGGAGGCGAGTCTGATCCAGGCCGGGATGAGGAGAGAAAAGCGGGGCTGGAGAGGGGAGGAAAGAGGCGGAGGTCTGTGGTCAGGCCCCGCACTCAGACACCCGGGTCTTTCCCTACCTACCTCAACCCTCGTGGCTGCGGTAGGTCCTGGGTGGGCCTTTGGTCGTGGGTGTGAATGGGGATGCATCTCAGCTGCCTCTTCGTTAGGTAATTACAAGACCGAGCTATATGACCCCGCTATGGAAAAGTACCAGCCCTCCCCGCAGTGGATTAATTTGTTCGTGTTGGTGAAGGACCCGGAGAACAAGGTGAGGCAAGCCTTGATTCCCTGCAGCCCCCCAGGCCTCCAGCGTCAATGCCTAGCCCTCCCTCGTCCTCCATTTCTCAGAGGAGGGCCCATCTCCTCACAGGCAGGAAAACTCAGGGAGGGCCATGCTGTTTGCCAAAGGTAGAGTATTGGCGATGCTTGGATCTGAGACTTTCCAGCCCTAACTGATGCCATTTCCCTCACTCTATCCTCTGGCCTGGCCTGTGGGGAGCTGGACTGGGATAGCCCCGGAGTTCGTCTCCTGGAAGCAGGTTCCTGGCCAGCTTTCCTGTGCTCACTGGAGGCTGCTTCCTCTAGAACCTTCTGGCCCATCAGTATGGCCCTCAGGGCAGCTTCACCTTCACCTCTCAGTCCCCTGGCGAGCACCAGATCTGTCTGCACCTCGAGTCCATCCGTTTCTCCCTCTTCTATGATGGCAAGCTGGTGAGTGTGGTAGGTGGGAGGTCTCCTGGGTGAGAGGGGTGCAGAGGGTGGTGTCAGTTGAGGAAGGCTGAGGCTTCACATGAAGTAAGCATGCAGAGAACAACTTCTGAAGGGAGTCTCTCTGACTGAAAATTCCCCCTGGCCCCCTGCCACCTGTAGGATAAAAACCAAGCTTCATACTGTGAATTTACAAGCTGTTCAGCATCTGAGGGCTCCCTGGCTGTCCACTGCCACCTCCCACCAATACAGAGCTTCTAGTAACTGCCTGTCTCAAACACTGAGTCGTACCTGCTTATGCACGTGTTGCCCTGTTTCTTTTATCTTTTAATGTGAAAGTCCATGCAAACAGGGCCCTGACCTGGTGTTTGGGGACCCAGGGCAGGGCCAGTCCCCCAGTCAGTGAGTATAAGGAGCTGAACTGCCAATGTCAGGCCCAGACTGGGGTGTGGAAGCTGGGTTTCTGGCAAGTGCATGGAGCTGAGTGCTCTGACCCCCACCCTTGGCTCCCCTGTAACCAGGCTATTCACTTGGACATGAAATTGGGTGAACACACCAATGATTATGCAGAATTTGCGGCCAAAGACAAGCTGACCCAGCTGCATCTGCGTGTGCAGCAGCTGGTGGAGCAGGTGGAGCAGATCCAGAAGGAGCAGGAGTACCAGAGGGTGAGGGGGTGGGCTGGCCCAGTGGGACAGGGAATGTGTAACCTCTCAGGGAGCAGCTCTTCTAGCTCCTCCCTCAGGGGAAGGGGGTTCAGTTCTAGCCAGGTGGTTTCTCCATTCTTCCCTCTCACAGTGGCGAGAGGAGCGCTTCCGGCTGACCAGCGAGAGCACCAACCGGAGGGTACTGTGGTGGTCCGTTCTGCAGACCCTCATCCTTGTGGCCACTGGCATCTGGCAGATGAGACACCTCAAGAGCTTCTTTAAAGCCAAGAAGCTGGTGTAGATGGGCCCCAGAAACAAGAGGCCTAACCCCCACTCACTCCCCTGCTGCTGACTGATGGACAGTGGCCTGGCCTGGGCTATCTTCTGGTTCCCTTCAGCCCTCCCAACTCCATAGGGCTTGCTTATTACTGGCAGGGAGACAGAGGACCTCTATGAACTGGTTTCTCAGCCAGCTCTGGGGAGAGGATGGGTTTCCAGCTGAGACACTAGGTGGGTAGTTATTCCTTTGTGGCTTTGTGATGCTGAGCAGGAAGGGGGTGAGGGTGTCCCCAACCCCTGTGTTAAACAGCATAGAGATCCCAGGATGGAGAAATAAGGAATAAGATGAATATAAATTATCACTGCAAACTTTCTGACCTAAACATTTATTGCCTCCTACTCTACAATTCATTCTGATGTTATATGTATCCAATCAGATATTAACATTTGAGGCCCTGGATGCATTGGTGGGGGTCAGAACCCAAAATGGAAGGGATTGAGAGCGCTTGTACCCCAGGAGCCTTAGCAACATGTAGAGCCCTTCTGGAAAAGTTCAACTTGTATCCATCTTTTGGGTAACCTGAGTGTTGGTGCTAATCCTGTCTGTCTGTCCGTCTCTCTCTCTCTCTCTCTCTCACACACACACACACACACACACACACACACACACACATTCTGGGCTCTGGTTAGGCTCATGTACTATCCCATCCCAGTCACCTGGACTGCTGGGTTCTTCCAGGAGGTCAAATGGTCACCTGTATTTTCCTGCTATTTTTTAGTTAACCTGTGTCTCTCTTTATGATATCATTGGTTAATTTTCTCAGAAGATGCTTATTCTTACAGGATTTCAAGTCACTGTTTCCACCAGAGTCAGCATCTCCTGTAGCTCAACCTTCACATATATACACAGACGTAGATGGCCAGGCACCCATGTTTCCTATTGCTTCTCCCTGATCCAGCCCATGTTTTACCAAGCCCCATGCTTGTTGTCCTATTGGAATATAGTCATCTCTCATGTGAATTTGACATTTTCTGTTATAAGGAAATTTACTGGTTAGCACCCTCAACAAAATCAAGTCCGAATTGGCAAGGCCAAGGATGCCAGCAAAGGAGACTCCCCATGAGGAAGGCAGCTGTGAGCCCTGGCTCTTGCTCCCTGAAATAGATGCACTCTCCCCTGACATACTCTCAAGGGATGGCTGCAAGCCTCACGGGCACTGCTCACTTGTGGGTCTGGCCATGATTGGCCTCTGAAAGTACGAGACCTAACTGAAGGCTGGGGAGGGAGGGGGAATCACTGAGAATAAACTGACAAGAGAATGTGACCTTAGGGTCCACTTCCCTCACCTGAAGCTGGGGGGTGGTGTGCTCTGCTTTCTGCTGCAGGGGAAGCAGAGTGACCCAGATGGGCACATTCTTTCCCGTGGAACCTGTGATCTGACACCAAATGAGGCAGGACCTTGAACAAGACGTTAGGATTATACATGAGGAGAAGGGTACAGCTAAGGGCGACAGGAGTCCTGGTCTCATCTGCATGGTCAGAGAAGGCTGCTTTCTATTTTTATTTTTTAATAACCCCAAAGCAGCATTTATTTACTCATTGAATTCCGAAACATTTAATTTAGAAGTCTGGCTTCTTTTTTTTTTTTTAAGGCTGCTTTTTAGAACTGAGACTCATGATAGGCGTTAGCTGAGGGGACAGTGTTCTGGCCAGAGGGAATAGCACATACAGAACCCTAGAGCAAGAAAGAATATGGCAATTTGGGGAAAGAGAAAGAAGGCCACTATATCAAAATCCCCACTCCTGAGAGGCCACCTGCAGCCAGCCTTCCAAATTATGGTTTCCTGTCTAGGACTTGCCTCTTCCCTGGTGATTATCCCCAGAGTGACCACCCCTTTCAGAGGGACCCTGCCCTGTACTCATGGGGCTAGGACCTTATCCTGACACTTCAGTAGGGAAACAAGTCACAGAAGAGTGACAGCGAAGCCATGGGACAGCTGCACACACACAGCAGAAAGGAGTTTCTAGTGTCAATTTCTCCATGCATTTCCATATGAGCCCTCACAGTCACTGTGGAGAAAATTACACATGTCCTGTTTTAGAGAAGAGAGCCAGCTAGTAAGGGGTGGGTCATTCTAAATTCTGGCCAATTCAACTCAATTCTTGGCGTTCTGTTCCCTGCCACAGCTACTTTTCTACAAGTGGAGGAAAGACCCCATACAAAGAGATAAGGCTCACTGCCACTGTTTTTAGAGTTGGCAGTGTGGATGAGAAGAGTAGTAGTTTCTTGTGGCTGCCTTAACAAATTACCACAAGCTTGGTAAATTAAAGCAACAGAAGTTTATTCTCTTACACATCTGGAGGCCACAAGTACAAAATCAAGGTGTCAGCAGGGCTACACTCCTTCCGAAGGCTCTAGGAGAGAATCCCTCCTTCTTGGTACAGCTTCTGGTGGCTCCAGGCATTCCTTGGTTTGTGTGTACATCATTCCAATCTCTGCCTCCATTGTCTCCTCTTGTGTCTCTCTTCTGTGTCTTATAAAGACACTTGTCATTTGGATTTAGGACCTACCCAGGTAATCCAGTATGATCTCATCGCCGGGTCCTCAAATTAGCTATATCAGCAAAGACCCTTTTTCCAAATATGGTCATATTCCCACAGTCCGGGGGTTAGGACATGAACATACCTTTTGGGAGGCCACCATTCAACCCACAACAGAGAGCAAGAAGTGTACACATGATATGGTACCAAATGACTTAACAAATGGGATAATCAGAGCTCTCAGAATTCAGACTGGGGTGAGAGTCAGATGGATGGATGGTTGGATGGATGGATGGATACAGGATGTCAAAGAAGCCTTTATAAAGGAGATGGTACTTGAGTAGAACATTGAAAGATGGGAAGGTTTGAATATGAAGAATGGTGGAAATGGAGCCTGTAGAAGTACAAATGTACAAAGAATTTCAATATAATTCAACGCCCCTGAATTATATAACATGGTAAGATAGAGGCTTTGGAGAAGAAAGAAATCAGGGAAAATAGATTGTACATGAATGGGATGAAGCCAGGAGGGAGGCTAGATCAAACAACGGATGGAAGTTAATATACTTAACTACAAGTTGGACAACTAGAAGCAGGCTGTAATCAGAGGCTGCAGATTGAAGGCCTACAGTATATATTTTTTGTCCTGCACAGTATTTAAAAGTTTTTTAAAATTAGCAGCCAATAGTAACAGTGCCACCGTTCCTGTAGTATACATTTAAGGAAATACTGGATGGGCAAATTAGTTGGATGAGGCAGCTTGAAGCTGTTTCCAACACTTGATATAAATGAGAGAAGATGACAGTTTCCAGGAGGCATGATGAAGATTACGAGGAAGGAGTGAGCCTCTCCCTGTAGAACACTGTCTTAGACAAGCACTCATGGATGAGAGAGCCTTTGTGGAAGTCCAGGTTTCCAGAGAAGTTCCAGCACATGGTTGGAGGGGAAACACACACACACACATGCACACGCACACATTTGAACACACTGGAGAAGGGAAGAGGAACAGTTTGACTTTACTTGCATCATCTGTCCTCAAAGGCAGCATAGCTCCGTGCCAAGAAATCACTTTCTTGGCCATTGATTTCTTTGGCAGGACAAAATGAGAGCATGTGTGTGAACACTCGGCTTCCCCAGCAATGCAGAACTCTCCCAAAAAGGCTCATTTCTCTCTTGCCCCATCCAGAGTACTGGACGGTGGGGAAGAGGCTAGGAGACCAGCAGATAGGACTCTCAGAGGAGGGCATTAGTGGGACATGGATCTTATTAATTGTATCACGAACTTCATTAAGGCTGCCCATGAGAGCTGCCCAAGATGGCCGACTTAAGGGATCAGGTGTTGGATGAGGAAAAGATACCATTGCTGATAAATTCATCACTCATGCACCCCCTGGGGAATTTAATGAAGTGTTCAGCGATGTCCGGCTACTACTTAGTAATGACAGTCTCCTCAGGGAAGGGGCAACACATGCATTTGCCCAGTATAACATGGATCAGTTCATGCCCATGAAGATAGAAGGATATGAAGATCAGGTCTTAATTACAAAACACGGTGACCTGGGTAATAGCAGATTTTTAGATCCAAGAAACAAAATTTCTGTAAGTTTCATCACTTATGGAAAGAAGCAAGTGACCCCCCAGCCAGAGGAAATAGGTGGAGGTCTGAAGTCTTGGAGAGAAGAATCCTGTGACAGTGCTTTAAAGGCTTATGTGAAAGATCATTATTCCAACGGCTTCTGTACTATTTATGCTAAAACTATAGATGGGTAACAGACCATTATTGTGTGTATTGAAAGCTACCAGTTTCAGCTGGAAACCTTCTGAAATGGTCGTTGAAGATCAGAATGGAAGTTCACATTCACACCACCTACAGCCCAGGTGGCTAGAGTGCTTAAGATTTAGGTTCACTACTATGAAGATGGCAGTGTTCAGTTGTTTAGTCATAAAGATGTACAGGGTTCAGTAACTTTAGAATGAAGTCCAAACTGCCAAGGAGTTTATTAAAATTATAGAGCATGCAGAAAATGAGTGTCAGATAGCAATTAGTGAAAACTATCAAACAATGTCAGACACCACATTCAATGCCTTGTGCTGGCGGTTTCCAGTTCTCTGCACCGCAATCAACTGGAACAAGATACTCAGGCACAAGATTGGCAAAGAAATGAAGAATGCTTAAAAGGCTGAATGTAGGATTCTTCTGTGAAAAGAAAGGATTCAACATGTGGTGGTATGATAAGTAAGTGACTTACAAACAAGAGTGATATTTTGATAGGACTTTCTTTCTTGCTTTTTTTTTTCCAAAGCTTTTTTTTTTTTTAATTGGGGGATGGGAACAGCGCTGGGGAATTGGGGGAAGGGGAACAGAAAAGTTGCCATCCTTTTGTTCTTCAGTCTAGTTGTGGAGGACGTTGCTTCACTGGCCCAAGTTGGCACCATCATTGCGCTCTTCCGGGGCAAGGCAGATCAGTCACTGGCTTCTGGACGGCCGCTCATGCTGGCTGCTGGCTACACACGGTAGCCCATGGCAACCCACTGCAGCAGGGGCTGCAGCCCAGCAGGGGCTGCAGCCTAGCCGTCGCTAGCGACTCAAGGCAGCCCAGCTCCAGGTTGAGCATCTTAGCTGTAGAAGGCAGTGTCACTGGCCCTCATATGTGGGATCCGAACTGGGTCCCTCTGGCGTCCCAAGCCAGCTCTTAACCATCATGCCACTCAGCTGGCCCAATAGGACTTTCAAAGTTAACAGGTTTTCTAGCCTCAGGGAATACTATTGATGTGTAGCATTGTCTTGATACTTTTGTTTTCTGTGCCTTGTAATTTTCTGTTTTCAC